AATGTCATGTTTCATGGCTTGGTGCCTGGATTATTTTTTAATGAGTAAAACTAGGAATTGTTAAGGTTGGAAAGGGTCTCTAAGATCATCAGTCCAACCATCAACCCAACACCACCATGCCTACAAAACCATGTCCCAAAGTGCCACGTCTACCCGTTTTTTGAACACTTCCAGGGATGGTGACTCCACCACCTCTCTGGGCAGCCTGTTCCAATGCTTGACTACCCTTTCTGTGAAGAAATTTTTTCCTGATATCCAATCTAAACCTCCCCTGATGCAGCTTGAGGCCGTTTGCTCTCATCCTTTTGCTAACTACATGGGAGAAGAGACCAACACCCACCTCACTGCAGCCTCCTTTCAGGTAGTTGTAGAGAGCGATAAGGTCTCCCCTCAGCTTCCTCTTCTCCAGGCTAAACAACCCCAGTTCCCTCGGCTGCTCCTCATAAGGCCTGTGCTCCAGACCCTTCACCAGCTTCATTGCCCTTCTCTGAACATGCTCCAGCACGTCAATGTTTTTCTTGTACTGAGGGGCCCAAAACTGGACACAGTATTCCAGGTGCAAATGTACAGCTTGTACAGCTGTTGGATTCTTGTACTTTTTTTCTCTTAAGAGCCTAAACCAGAGAAGCGACTTGTATTAAAAAGCAAATAGATAGTTTTTGGATTCTTCTTTTATATAATTTATAACACTGGTTTTAAATGGATCCCCCTTTTGAAAAATACATTTTTCTATGTTCATTCTTGGTTCAGACTCTCCCAGGTAGGGGCAGTCAGTCTTTATCTTCAAAATAGAAAAGCGTGAATTCTCTTATTTCTTGCATCAAAAAACAAACCAAAACAAAACCCCAAACAACAAACCAGCATGCTAACAGACCACTCTCAGGTGTGTTCTTGTGACCTAAAGGGGACACTACTTCGACTGGAAAATTGTAGGGTACAAAATGGAGCATTGCTTAGATGTGGGCCCTTCCTTAGCAGGAACTGATGCTGCAGAAACAATGGAGTGCTTGTGCATACCCTCAAGAAATGTGTTGTAGTGCTAGAAAAGACCAATATCATCATCCAACCTAGCCAAGCAGTGGGAGAAAAGTTACCCCTGTTTCTAACTGTTCTTGCATCCAGTCTATAACTCCTTCTCAGACTTAAAACAGATCTTTTAGAAAAATACGCAGTGTTTACTCTAAACTGTCAACATACAGAAAATTCACTGCAATATTAAGTAATCTTTCATGTGTAATTACTCTCGCTGGCTGAAACTTAACCCTCTCTTCAGTAAAAATAAATATTCATCTGATTTAATCGGAGGTAGATTTTTTCAAATCTTGAAAAAAATATTTTAGCCCTTTCCTTTCAAAATTGTCAGCATCCTGGATAGAAGTGTAGAGGCTGGAAATGGATGAGATATTGCAGTGTAGATTATATGTTCAGAACAACTGTTCCATGGAAATTTTTCTCATCTTTTTCTGTCTTCTAAGCTTGGTTTTTGCTCGTTTCCCTTTTCAAATAACATTTCTCTTAAAAGCCTTGTTTACCAGATTTTTCTGATAACCTTTTTTTACCCATCTACGTGATTATTTCTTCTTTATCTTCATTATGTTGGTGTCATCCTGAGGGTCTTCTCAGCAGAACTGTGTCTTTTCTCCACGTGCATGAAAACATTTTGATCAAAGCTGGGACAAATCAGATCACTGCATGGCTCTCTTCTGTTTAGAAATAATTTTTGAGTCATTTAACTAGTTTGCAGCTTGTAAGCTGCACTGATATTTTTATATTGCTTAAAAAAACCTGAGAATGTCATCTGTGATTAAGTCAAATATATTAAAGAAATCAGAGGTAACTGTGTTAACATATTTAATCATAGTAGATCTCATCAAACTTACCATTTTGATTAAACCTGTTTTCCATAATGCCATGTGGAATGGCATTAATTACATGCCTGTGCTTTAATTCTTTATTGATTGTCTTACAGCAGTCTTCCCATGAGTTTATGGAACACACAGCTTGTGTGACCTGTACCGACATGCTTTAGTTCTACTTCTTCTAAATATTGTTCCCCTCTGAGCTTTTATCAGTCCTATACATTTTCCCATTTTCAAAGGCTTTTTTTAAAATCGCTGCTTGCGTTTGGGGTATCTCCTGTTCCAGTTGTTTCGTGTTGTTGGGTGCCAACTCATCTGATCCTTTTTCTGTTTCACTTCATTTTAGGAATTTATCATTTTTCTGAAACAAGAGATATCAGTGAACACATGGATGTATTTTTCATGACAAATTAGGATATTTCATTGAATATAACAGCCTTTTTTGTTTAATGGAAAAATAGCATTGGAGCTGTTGTCTTCTTAAGTTTTTATTCATTCCTGATACACTAAAACAATTCTTGTTTTGGCTTTTTGTTGGGGTCTTTAGCTTCCCTTATCAAAATGTCACAATTACAAATTTGAGATTTATTCTCCTTTCTTATCTTAATTTTATTTTTTACTCTGAAATAAAATTTGCACTGAAAAGCTTGTCGAGTTTTACCTTTCTTGCCATATTTTGTCCCAACCAGAATGTGTTTTGACCAACTCATTCCTCCATAAATGCTGTCACTTGGCAATTGTGAAGGCTTTCTAAACTACTCCCAATTAGCAGGTGTAATTGTTCTGAAATGTCTTTTGACAATTGCATTGGCTCATGTTAGTTTTCCAGCTATAGAAAATTATTCTTGCTTTTAAGCATCACATATACTTTTTTTTTTCACCAGGACTGTTACAGCAAATTAAATAGGTTAGGGGTTGCTTGGTGTCTATTCGGCTTATCTTTTTTTTTTAGTGAATTTGTTTATTAATAGAGGAAGGTGGGAATCTTCATGCATAACGAAGAGATCCAATATGGAATTGCTCCGAGTTTTGTAACATACGCATCCAGTCTGATTTATGTTTCTTTAGGAACTCCAAGGACATTTTGCCCAATGGAGCGGCATTCAAAAAAAAAAAAAAAAAGTTTGTTTCGACTGTTTCTACAGCTACTTACTCTCTTTTGTCCATTGACAAGGCTCCAGAATTAGTCATGATCTTTCTTACACATTACATATGTAGTGATTAAGACATACACATTCCAGGTCCGTGTCTTCAGAATTTCTAGTAGCTCTGCAGATTCTGGAGCTTCAGGTATTTGCTGGAGACAAAATTCAAAATTGAGCCTAACACTTAAAAAAATATAAATAATAGGTATGAAAGAATCCGTATGACTCTACTTCTTCCTGCCTCTCCCTCACTTCCCCTCATATTGTAATCAAAGTCAGCATCCTCACTAAGTTAAAAGTATTTGTTTTGTGTATGAAATTTCACTTGTGGTTTCATTAGGTATATATTCATTTCCTGCCAAGATCTCCTTTAGTCTGTTGCTGTGGGGTTTTTTTTCTATCAGCTGTTCATCCCAGAGGTGCCTGTGCTTCGGACATTGGAATGGGTAGAGATTGGGGGAAGTGATACTTCCAGTCTTTTTATTTAAAGTATTCAGACGCTCTTACAGAAGAGGAAACAATATTCAATAGACTTACATCTTGTTATTTCTATTGAACATTTTGGAGTTCTAAGGAAAAATCAGAGGATTTTATCTTGATTATCATGACTTGCAGTCATAGCGTCTGGCTCCCCAGCTATCTTTCCTAATAAATTGAGAGGAAGTGTTGCTGCAGAAGGCTGTGGAGGTACACGCAACCAGAGGAAGGAGTGGAGGGCTTTCATGTCCTAGGTCTTTGTACAAGCCACTTCCTGGCTTGTCTTTACTCTTCTGGCTGATGGATACTGTTCCTGGTAAATGCTGAAAGCTACGAAATCTCTATTTCAGTGTGTCCTCTGCAGTCACAAGAGTTTTTATAGAAAATGACTGTTTTATTTAGTCTGTTTGATTTTAAGAAAAGAAATAAATAAGAATATCTGAGTTTACATCTCTTCCTTGTATCTTGAAATGGAGAAGAGTGTTTACTTTATGTTCACAAGCTTTTGGGTCCTTTTTCATTTCCTCTCTGTGGTTGTATGAGCTAGAGCTGTGATAAAGCTTTAGTTTTTCATTTTTTTTTTTTTAATTCTAGCAGCTAGGTTGTGAAGAAAAATGCCAAATGGCACACAACTTGGAAGTAATTCTAGAGTTGACAGTCCCATGCACTAAAAATACTTTTATACTTGAATTCTATGCAGTATAATCCCTGAAATGTTGCTACTTTTTTAAGATAAGTGCATTGAAGCAGTATTTCTTTGGCCTGACCTAGCTACAGCAGAGTATGTAAATTCAGTTTCTTTCCCATTTAATGCACCATCATCAATCCTTTGTGTTAGGAGGGCTCTAAGATACTTAGTGCTCCTAGCTGCTTCTAATCACTCAAGCTGTTGGCTGCTACCCTCTAAAGCAAGTGAGGAAAGCTGAGGGTGACCTGAAAAAAAAGGAGATGATCAGAGTCATTGGAAAAATATTCAGTAGAGCAAGCTGACATAGGAACTAAAGTGAGCAGCCTCTGGAGAGATAAGGCTGCCAATTCTGCCTGGAGAATTGAGTTACTGTAAGAGAGTGAGGCAGAAATCACAAACTGAAGTTACACTTCTTCATTTTATTCCCTGTGCCACCTGCAGATTTGCACACTTGAAAACATCTGCTGAAAGTCAGTTTAGTGATCTCACTAGTATAGCAAGTCATGCTTCAAAAGAACAAGGTCTGGAAAATACTCAGAGTAATGGTTTGCTTTGCTTAGAGGGATGCCATTTGCCTTGGCTGGTAGTTTGAAGGAAAGGTCGAAGAGCGTAGACCAAAACCTTATCTTCACAGTGTAATGGGGCAGCAAGACAGTGAAGCTTGTCAGGGTCACTAAGCTGTCTGTGTCTGTGACCTTCCTTTAGTAGCTTTTTCTCCTGTTCTCTTCCCTCTACAGCTAACAGTTGAAATGTTCAGTCAGTCCTTTGCTACATCCTGGTCGGTTTATTTGTTTTTTAAATATCTCTTTCTCTTTTCCCCCAAAAAAGCAGAGAATGGCAGATAACCAGGAGAGTCAGATGACCATTGAAGAAAGGAAACACCTGATTACAGCTCGAGAAGAAGCCTGGAAGTCCAAGGGTAAAGGAGCAGCCAATGACTCCACACAGTTCACTGTAGCTGGGCGAATGGTAAAAAAAGGTCAGTGATGAAATGATCCTAATATAAATAAGTCACTGCTTATTTGTCTAGTCAAAATAAAGTCAAGCTAAAGCTATGCAGAAACAGTATCCATGTTTAGCAAGAGGAGGACCGTTTAACTGAATATCAAGCCGTGAGGCTGTTCACTCTAGCTTCTTGTGGCTGTTGGTATTGATCCAGTTTGTCCTGCACTGTTGCACTACCATTCAGTTATTACTGGGCTCTGACTGGTGGTAGCCAATCACTTAAACAGTCATGTGTTTCATTTTTCCTTCTAATACAACCCAGAGGGCACAGCTGGATTATTCTTTCTTATTCATTTTTCCTTTGAAAACCCAGGTGCACTGTCTAGAGACAAGTTGTGAAATCTAGTTGTTGCTATTGCTGGCACTTCCCCTGTTCCTAGGATCACTGGGAATATTTAGCAAACACGTGTTATTTTTATGGATGCTGTTTTGGACAACACTTAGAAGTGTTGTGTTTGGCTGAAGAAATCACTGAACAGATTTCTTCATAGAACCAGGGAACAGAAATGACAAGGGAGCAATGTTGATATTTTTGGGATCTCTTTAATTCAGTCAGTGTTTCCAGATGCAGTCATTCTTCTGAACTGGACAGAAGCGTCTGAAGGCTGTACGTGGTAGAAATATAGCTGTTCATGCAGTGTGCCTGGTGAGATGATGGCTTTGGGAAGAAAGCACCTAAAGTGATCTCCTGTGGTTAATGAATACTAAATTTTGTTTTGTTGCAAGAACTTGGTTATTAAACACAACAACAATGAACCTTGAGTTAAATGACAACCACCAAAAAAAAATCATTGTTGGATGAGGACAGTATTGCAACAGGGAGTAACTCCATTTGCAATCCAAGCCACGTTCTGTTGGCAGATAAACAGATACATGGTATTAGGAATTACACTTATTAGTAGCATATTTTAGCTGCTGCTTACATTGTTTTGCTGCTAGAAATGCCAGTGGTCAGTGTTTAAAGACTAACCTATTTTGGAGGGTCACCAAGAAAAAGTGTTCAGTTGTCCACAGACTGCTTTTTGAGGTGGTTTTTTTTTTTTTGCTAAATGATTGGTCTTTGGAAAGGAATAGAAAGTGATAGCATTTGCTTTTTTTAATGGGAAAAGAAAAATACCTTGAAAGGATCTCTTTAGGTGCTGCGATCATTCTTTTGGAGAAGCAAGGTAATCCACTGACAGTGGCATCAATAAAAGTAGCCCAAGTGGGATTTTATTCAGATGTGTGCTATTTTTGTTGCCTAAAAGAATAAATTATCATGATGAGTTTTTAATTTAAGAGATGATGAGAAAGCAATGCAAAATTGAATCCTTGTTATATACATGTGCACAGATGCTGTATTTTAATTGCTTCTTATGGCTGAAAATATTTCAGTCCTAATTGGAAGGTGATCCTTTACTAACATCTGAAGTTGCTCTCCATGTGGTCTTGTGGATTAGGTCCTGGGAGAGCTGCTTAAGAGCTGTGTACTCTCATGTATGTCTTGATGAAGGGTTTACCAGTTGACTTAAAACCTGCTGGAATTTTGAGTCTCTTAGGTAACAGGGAAGAAATTGTTTCTGGAAAAGCTACTCAATTATATCCTGAATCTGTCTTGGTGTTTGACAATTATGACTTGCTAGGAGTTGCAGTAAAGACAGTGGAAACATGGTTAGTATATATTCTCCCAGCACAATATCGGTTTAATCCGATCAAAATAACCAAAAGCTTAAACTTATGTGGCTTAGTAATTAGTAAGCTATGGCTAAGTGGAAAATAGATATTAGAGGAAAGTTTAAATGTCAATTTCCCCATTTACTGAGAGTCTAGGCAACAAGAGATAATAGATGCAATTCTTCGCTTCAGTATGCTTTTCTACCTAATAAAAACCATGAAACCTATGTAGTGCCATTTCTCTTGCTGAAGCAATGTAGATTCACATGAAAAGAACTAAAAAAAAAAAAGTCATCTTATATCCATTGGGTCCAGAATGAATTGCTTTATGATAGTTACTGAAAAGGAGGGAGGAGAGTACAACAAAAGGTGGGAGTAGTGCTTGATATGGTGGGGACTCTGACTTCCATTTTGTTCTTCCATTTCGTACTTCTATTTCTACATGTTCTTAAAAATGCAACAGGGCCCAAGAATTACTGCTTAATCCAGGGACAGCATTCACAGGTCAGATGCATCATGCTATGTGTATTAATAGAGATGGGTTTAAATTAAAAAAGACGGTGAGGGGGTGGTGGTGGTGAAGGTGCCAAGCAAGAACCTGGTATTTTCCCTGCTAACCATACCTTTTTGTTCAGAACAGTTGCGTGTTTTTAAAATGTGGCTTGTGGTAGAACTGGAGGCCAAAATGTAGACCAAGTGAATTGCTGCTACATTGAAAACAAGCAAAATGACTGTACTCAAGAGAAAGCATGTATCTTGTGTTAGCTTGCTTACAGGCACTTGGAAACAAAGCTTTGCTCTTGTCCCATTTAGGGACAGTTCCTGAGGCTGCTCTTGATTTAAGGACCAGGCAGAGCAGTACACTCTGCCATCCCGAATACAACAGTTGTGGAGGCTGGGGAAGTATGAGGGACTGTAGGATGTGACCAGGCTTGTCTGCTTTCCCTAAATAGCTTCCCCTGTCATTGTTGGAAATGTGGGCTGACCCAGGACTGCATTTCCTATGTTCTGTGTTCTTATGCAGGCCTGGCCTCTCCAAGTGCACTAACGCCAGTAGCATCCCCTTTCAGTAACCGGCAGAAGTCTACCACTCCAGTTACAAAGCCCTTGGAAGGTAAGGAATAAAAATGACTGAAATACATTCGGGCTTTTTTATTTCCTGTCAATTAACAAGTTTTACTTTCTGGTTTGCTTAGAAATTGAAGCCAGGCCTGATATGCAATTGGAATCAGATATGAAGCTTGACAAGTTGGAATCGTTCTTGGGAAGGCTGAATAACAAAGGTTGGTAGAGTTACCAAAGGTGGCAATGTATCCACTCTTCGACTTCAGTAGCTCGCTTAAAGTACCTTTTAGTTAAAATATCTGGTAACAGAAACTGAATATTTCTTTGTTCAGACTGCACTTACTGATCACACAGTTTATTTTTGTGATTCAGTCTTTGCTAAATTTTAACAAAAAAGCCTTATGCCATTGTATTACAAATGTACAATAGAATAAATCACAAATGCCAGAATAACCTTCTCTACACGCAATGTATACATTCTCTTGAGAGCAATATTTCTTAAAACCACACAGCCAGTCTGAACCATATTGCCATATCCAGTGAAACAACTTTAAATGTAGTTTAATCTTACTAAAATCAAGATAGGACACTAAGTGGCTCCCAAGCACAATTCATTCACCTTCTTGCTTTTTTGAAAACTGACTCTCTGTAGCAGCTCATATGGTTTCCTTGTACAGCTTGTAGGCTACTTATGAAGCTGTCTAGAGTCTCTGGTGTTTCCATCTCATATGTCTGTCCTCCATTTGTAAGACAAAAATCCTTCTGTTCATGGTATTTGACATTTTACAAATTACAAACGTATTTACATTTCAGCAGAGGAGGCACTAGCATAGGGTAATGATTGTGCCATACTCACTAGTCTGAAGTAGTGACTTTTCCACTTGTAGTTTTAGTAGATCTTTTCAAAGGAAGAAATTATGTGGTCAGAGGCAAGATGGAATATACAAGACCATAAAATGCTTATATCGTCCTACCAAAACAACTCATTTTTGATAGTGCCTCACTTTTTATTCAGCCATATTTCCCAACCATTTTGTAATAAAGATTATTGCGTATAAGTAGCAGTTACACTCCATTTTTATCATTCTTTTCCAACAGACTTTTCTACCATCTTTCCTTCACATTCCATCAATTAAAAAAAAAAAAACCCAAACAACAAAACCCAAATACCAAAACACACCACCACCCCAAAAAAAACCCCACCCCAACAGCTACCAAACAAGCCATGTTTACCTGTTCTAGAGTTAGAAAGTCTAGCGTGATTATTTATTGGGTGAGGTGTTTTTTTCCTGCAGTTGCTGGGATGCAAGAGACAGTGCTGACAGTTACAGGAAAATCTGTGAAAGAGGTGATGAAGCTGGATGATGATGAAACGTTTTCCAAATTTTATCGCCATGTGGATTTCCCTTCCTCCTCAGTGCCTTTGGACCTTGATGAGGACTTTGATGCCATCTTTGACCCTTTTGCACCAAAGTAAGAACTATTTTTTTTTCTCCATTGTTATGAATGCAAACATAGGGGCGGTGATCAAAATATTCAGCTTTATGTCATTTTGCAGATATCTTCGTACTGAGCACGTCTATTTCTTCTATACATTTCAGAAATCACTCTTCTGCCTAAATCAAGGAAACTGATCCTGATTTCCTAACAAATGTCACACACAAAATCAAAGCAAATCTCTTGTCATTAGATGATTCTGACTAGGAAAATTCACTGATGATCATAAACACTGCTTGTTTTTCAGGTTAATATCTTCTGTAGCAGAGCACAAACGTGCAGTTAGGCCTACACGCAGAGTCCAGTCCTCAAGAAACCCCCTGAAAATGCTGGCAGCAAGAGAAGATATTCTTCATGAATATACTGAACAAAGACTGAACGTTGCCTTCATGGAGTCAAAGCGAATGAAAGTAGAAAAAAGTAAGCAAACAGGATGATTTGTACAAGACACTGTCTTGCTGTTTTAATTAAAAACAAAACAAAAGATCCCAACACAAAAACTGCAGCTGAAGGAATGGATCATATTCTCTGAGAGGCAATAAATTGATTGAGATGTAAGGTTGAAAGTAGACTGTCTAGGAGGTCTGGAGAGAAGGGCATGTGTGAATTCCTCAGGGAAAGCCACCTACAGCTGCCTCCTGTGCGTAGGTTTAATTATTTATTTTTAGCACAGTCACATTGTGCAGAGAGAGAGAGTGCCACTGCGTCTGCAGGGTGAGGACAGATCAAGGAAAGCAGGTCTAGCGTTATGTTATGCTGGGGGAGAGAGCTGGCAAGAATAGGAAAACTTTTGTTCAGGTACGCTGACCTCAATTTTGGGTCTTAGTTTTCTCTCAGAAACTGGAATTAGCCTTCTCAACTCCAAAAGATTAATTTCCATAAAGGATCAGTGCTCTGTGGCAGTGCTTTGTGTTTTACTTGTGATGTTGCTTTCTCCTGACAACCGGACGGACAGCAAGAGACATTATTGTAAAATTTATTCAAAGGTTTGTCAAGCCACTTTTACCATTTTGGGTACAAGTTTTCCTTATTATGTTTGAATAAAGGGAGATCATCTTTAAACTTTGCCTGTATTGATGAAAACACTAATTATATGTGTAATACTTTGTTGCTATTTGATGAGAAGCATTTCCCTGAATTATAAATTCATAAAGTACTTTGTCTTTGGTTGAGAAATAAGCAAAAGTAGCCAAGAATTTAGGCTTTAAGTTTACGGTAAAACATGACTAAGACTTTGAAATGTAAATGGCTGTTGCATCACACTGGATGCGACAAATTTGAAGGGATTTTCAGTTAATTAGCCTTGGCTACTCTGCTGTCTTTTATCATAAATCAATTATAAAGCACTGAAGATCTACACAGCACTTCACATTGGGTAAGACATGTTTCCTCGCAAAGTTGGTATTTCTGCCAAATAACATAATTCTGACACTGACTCTTGGATGATATCTAGAAATTTACGTACTACTAAACCCACAAAGCTTTTGGGTTAGCAGTTAATCTGAGTTCAACATGGTTTTGCTGTTGCTATTGAGAAGGAGAAAAAGTGGAAATAATAGGGGGATTTTTTTTTTTAATGCAACAACCAATCTTTTTAATAATTTTGTCCTTTTTTGGGGTTTTCTTTGTGTGTTTTCTCCAACTTCTTTCTATGTACAAGTGTCTGCAAACTCAAATTTCTCAGAAGTAGCACTTGCTGGCTTGGCAAGCAAAGAGAACTTCAGCAACGTTAGCCTGCGGAGTGTTAATCTAACAGAGCAAAACTCTAACAACAGTGCTGTGCCATACAAGAAGCTAATGCTGTTGCAAATTAAAGGTATGCTGGAACTGCTTTTACTTTCCATACATGATAGGCTGATTGTAACATATGGGAGTTGTTGCCACAGTTGGATGCTTAGCTTGTTCTAGGTCTCCAGCTCGAGACTTATGTCCAAAACATAAAAGAGTGAGAACTGTGTGACAAATGCAAAACCTTACAAAAAGGTTTGCATTGTGGCCACTGGTGCATGTTTTCCAAGGAGAAAACAGAATATTTCAGGAATTCTAGCCATCTCCTGTGGAAATTTTTGAACTGTCCCATTCTTCCAGTGCTCAGTATAACATGGAAGTGACATGACAGTGTTCTTGCTCCACTTCCCCTTACAGTGCATAGTAATGTATCTGATAATGAGTCTGCAAAAGAATAGCTACTTTTTTGGCAAAGTAAAATTCTTAAAACTTTTTTTACTGCCTACAGACTGTGCCATAGCTTCACTTAAGCAAATGTAAAGGATCCTGGAATTTGGCTGCTGTCTGCCATTTACTTAATTCATTTCTTTCCAGAAGGACACGAAGTTGTTAAAGCAAGAATAGGAAATAATAGAAATATTAGTTGATAGGAGGCAACAATTTTTTTTTGCTTCCTGTGAGTAAACCCTTTTTCCACAGTAGTAGTATTTTAATTCTTCTTGAACAGTCTGTTTCCATATATTTTGCTAAATGTGCTGGGACTGTTTGTATTTCATTCAAAACAAATTAGATCTTGGCATTTGATAGCAGTAGTCAAAGGAATATAATTAGCTTTGTTTTCTCTTTAGGAAGAAGACATGTTCAAACAAGATTAGTTGAACCAAGGGCCTCATCACTGAACAGCGGAGACTGTTTCCTGTTGTTAACTCCACATTTCTGTTTCTTATGGGTAGGAGAGTTTGCAAATGTCATAGAAAAAGCAAAGGTTAGTACTACTTGGCTTTTTTATTATTTATTTTTAGAACTGTCACAGCATATGTCTCTTTGATGTAACTGAGTCTTGGTGTCAGTTGTCTCAAAAACTGGCATGTAACTGATAGTCAGTGGCAGGCAGGTATGCAGGATTCCTGTAAATATGTTTTAGCCTGTGCACTGAATGAAAGCTGACATACGAGCATGTAGGTTGCAAAGCTGCCAGAAAAAAGAGGATATCCTCAGGAAACAGATTTGCACTCCAACAAAAAATAGTCTGAATTGCAGGATGTCCTTTTTATTCCCATGTTCATTAAGATCAAGTCTTGTTTTAAGGCAAATGAAAGAATGAATGTATTTCTGTGACATTTTCTCTAGTGCCTGTTTATATAGCGCAATAAATAATAACCATTTCTCCTGCTATTTGCTCTATTATATCCTATCTACTTTTGCCTTCTCCCTGAACAAGATATGCACAAGTATTCTAAAGGCTTAAGCAATCCTGTTCAGATAACTGTTAATCTCTTAGGCTTCAGAACTTGCAACTTTAATTCAGACAAAGAGGGAACTTGGCTGTAGAGCTTCTTATATACAGACTATAGAAGAAGGAATAAATACCCATACCCATGCAGCCAAAGACTTCTGGAAACTCCTTGGTGGACAGACAAATTACCAGTGTAAGCATTCTTACAGTTACGGTATCTGATTTTTTTTTTTACTGTGATATTTTATCACAGTAAAATAGTTGAGTTGGTTCTCTTTAGTAAAAACAGTTGGATGTTGAAATTTTTTATTATTTTTGACAATCTTTTCCTTAAGGTGCTGGAAGTCCTGAAGAAGATGAAATGTATGAAGCTGCAATAATAGAAACAAATTGCATTTACCGCCTCGTAGAGGATAAACTCATTCCTGAGGATGACTACTGGGGAAAGGTGCCAAAATGTACCCTGCTACAACCAAAAGAGGTACCGTGCCACTTACTGCTCCTGTGGTAAGTGCAGGAACATACAGCTGATGACAACTTTCAGTAACTGCAAATGCTCATGGAGAGTTTCACTGAAAATTGGATCCTCTGTGTTTCTGAAAAGCTTCTGAACACTTTGCTGTCCAGAGTGTGCTGCAGGTTTCAAGAAATGAGATCATGTTATCTTTAAAGTGAAATACTATTTTAGGAAGTGTAAGTCTTTTTGTCACCAGTGGATCCCTCCAAAGTCATGAAGTGCAAACTAGGTAGTGCTTTGGAAAAACAAAACAAAATAAAAACCTGTTTTCCTTTTCAAGCATTTTTATTTCTATCCTTAGCAGGCTTTTCCCTTTCAAACAACCATTTCACCCATCTAAGTAGGAATGAGAGCAGATTTCCAAAATAAAGACACGATGCGTTTTCTTGGAAGTATTCAAGTTGCTGCCTGTTTGCTCAGCCAGTTACCCATGCTGTATGTTCTGTCAGCCTTACCTGGCTGCAGGACGAAGCATAGGTCTAAATGTCAGTGAAAGTTGCTGTAACTGGACAGCAATCAGTCATGCAGCAGAATCAGGTTTTTAGTAATAAGAGCTCTTTAATCTGCTAGTGACCTAGCTACCACCTAAAGGTACACCTCATAACATTCCTCATACTCATTTCCAGTCATCCTCAACAATTAGACGTCACAGTGCAGACCACTGCCCTGGCCTTACTTGCATTACAATGCCAGTTGTTAGTGTCACTGCAGAAACTCAGATATTTGGAGACATTTGTGTTGAATGCAGTGTCAGCTTGCAGCACTAGGAAACTGGAGGATCGGGGTATCACCTAACCTAATGGTAGGTTGGTTTTTTTGTTTTGATTTGGTTTTTAGGTGCTGGTGTTTGATTTTGGCAGTGAAGTATATGTATGGCATGGAAAGGAAGTTACTTTAGCACAAAGAAAAGTGGCATTCCAGCTGGCAAAACACTTGTGGAATGGCACCTTTGACTACTCCAATTGTGACATAAATCCTCTGGACCCAGGGGAATGCAATCCCCTCATACCCAGGTATCAAAGCTCGAGTTGAATCTCACTGCAGAAACTTAGTTTTCTTGCCGTTATTTCAGTGTTTAATTTGGTTCTATTTCTTTTGTTCCCTTGTACAGAAAGGGACAAGGACGCCCAGACTGGGCTGTGTTTGGCAGACTAACAGAACATAATGAGACCATACTGTTCAAAGAAAAATTTCTTGATTGGACAGAGCTGAAGAAACTCAATGAGAAGAATTCTAGTGAATCCCTTCACCAGAAGGTGCATATAATAAGCATGCTAGGTATTTCAAACTAGATGACCTAGCTGGGATGGAAGCCAGGGAAGCTTGTTCTCAAGCTTGATCCAGAGCACTTTCTTTATCTTGCGGGCTTTGACATAGGGGTCAGAACAGAACATCACCACCTGCAGTGAACCCACGGAGTTGCTTTATATTAGTGCCAAGCAGCTCAATGAATACTGCCAAGGTGGCTTTGACAAGGCATCAAATGATGACAAGATATTAAAGTATTGAAATATGCAGGAGTCAAACTGTTTGAGTGGAACTGTGGGGTAAGAAGAAAAAAGCTATGCTCAAAGAAATCTCTTCTGTGTTTTTTGACAGGAAGAATCCAGATCTGACTCTAAACCATATGATGTCATGCTAATGGTAGCTGTGCCCCAAACGACTGTAGGCACAGTCTTGGATGGAATGAATATTGGCCGGGGCTATGGTCTTGTAGAAGGAGAAGATGGAAGGCAGTTTGAAATTATCACTGCATCTGTGGATGTCTGGCACATCCTGGAATTCGATTATAGTAGACTGCCTAAGCAAAGCATAGGGCAGTTCCATGAGGGAGACACATATGTGGTGAAGTGGAAGTACATGGTGAGCACTACAGGTTAGTGAGCAATTCCATTTCATCCAGCTGAAACACGGAAAAGAGCAGCTGAAACTGCTGCTGTAGTGGTGAGATTCAGACCTAGACTTCCTTGGATGTGAAACTGTTCTAAAGGTTAGAAATGCTAATTTAGCCTTCCTAAGCCATTGAGAAGTAGAGCTTATTATTTTATTTTGTTTAAAAGAAAGCACTAAAAAAAAGCTGTAGCTATTGTTCATACATCAAATGTAATACTGTCCATCTCTACTTTTGCCCAACAATGGTGGTGTACGTGTTCACAGGACAGCTCATTAAGCCAGAATTGTGCCCACAGCTTAACACCAAAATAACTAGGCAGCTGGACTAATGACAGTGGTCTGAATGTCTTGCAAGAGAGGTAGGCTTAGCAACAAGGAAAGCCTTTTCTGGGTAATGGAGAACAGTAACAATGACAGGAAAAGCCCTTGCCAACTCATTGCCTTTGCTGTCCTTTTTGCTGTTTCTGGAAACCCTTTGCTGTGGGTTTCAGTCTCAAGTGGAAAACTTTAGCAGTGTTCTGACAAAGAGCCTGACAGCAGCAGGTAAATGTTGAGAATCAGTCCACTCAGTATGCTCATTGGAACTCTCCCATCTGGCACTAAACTAAGAATAGGTGGCTTTTGTGGTAAGTAAAATAGAAATAGTCTAAAAATGATTGTTCCAAATAGGAAAATATTAAAATTGTTTGAAAGCAGTATAACAGCTATACAGCTTCAGGCTTTTAGCCAAAAAATGTAGGCAGGTCTTATTCAGGATCATTGAGTTCAGATACTGGCAAATCCAAGAAAAATACAAAAGCTTGTAACTCTTGGGAGAAGTGGGTAACACTAATACTGAACTGTAAGCAGACTCCTAATCAAAATGGATGAAAATATATTCTGTCACTCCAAAACAGAATAATTTTTTTATGTAGGAGGCAATACTTTTATGGGCTGAATGTACAGATAAGAGTAAAAGCCATAAATTTTAGAAGTGGCTAGTGGTTTGAGTATTCTCAACTTGAAAAAAACAGGATGCTTTTTCCTAAGTATTTCAGCTGGATGCTGCTCAGCACTGCTGAAATCAAGGCAGAAGTTTTAGTATTTTTTTAAGAATCTGGTTTAAAGGTCTTGGGTTTTTTTAAATCTTTGATTTAATTATATCTGTTTATTCAGTATTCGCTGGAAAGAGTCAAATATTCCATAACTGGTTGTGCTGTTGAAGTTCACTTGCTGTAAACATTTGCTTATCGTAACAACTAAATACCAATTCTTTTTTTTTTTTTTAAAAAAAAAAGTTGCTGCTAACCCACTTTCCAGACCAACATAAAATACTGAGTTAATTTGAAAAAAACAAATAAATAAAGCTTACCTAATCATAACTTTTTTATGACTGCAAAATACTGCTTTGGTGTTCTTTTGTTCTGTAGTTTTCCTTTCTAATATCACTTTACCAAGAAAGACTTTTCTTTTATGCCTGTAGCTTTCTCAGCTGTTGCTGTTTCCAGTATCACTCAGCAGCCAGATATCCTCCTGCTGCCAAAGAACAGTGTGTAATGTGGAAAATGAGCCATAATGCACTCTTCGGGTAACATAACTGGACATACCATTTCACATGCAAATTGGCTCAAGTGATGTCAGTTATTTTTCTCCAGATAGTACCAGTTCTTTCTACATCTCTTTCCCTGGCCAACACAGGCATCTCTGCATGTAGGCTTACATCCACCTGATGAGACAATGCCAACTTTGCATGGGGATGTACTGGCTTGGACACCTTAAAGTTCCTCCAACTGGACATTTTATCCTTCCTGTTCTGGACAGGATAGTGCTGAGCTGGCAGATGAGATTAAACCATGTGCTGTTTAAACCTATAGCCAGAGTACTTTCTTCAGCATGTGCTTTCTGTTTTGCAGTTGGAAGCAGGCAAAAAGGAGAGCAACAAGTAAGAGCTGTTGGAAAAGAGAAATGCGTGTATTTCTTTTGGCAAGGACGGCACTCCACGGTGAGTGAGAAAGGGACATCGGCACTGATGACAGTGGAACTTGATGAAGAGAGAGGAGCACAGGTGAGCTTCCTGCAGACCTAGGTGGCAGTCCCGGTAAGACTTGCCTACCGAAGTAGCTGCTAACAGTAAATGTGGGTGATCTTTTTTGCCTTCTCTCTTTCTGTAAAGGTCGTCTTGCCACTACAAATAGCTAGCCCTCAAAATTACTTTTGGCTTTATTCCAACTTCCAGAGACACATAAGCTCCTTTATGGATGTTCATTCCCAAATCCCATTTCTAAAGATGATGTTTCTGAGAATGGCTGAAGAAGAATGTCTTCCCTCCTCTCCCTGCAGGAATAGGTGAAGCACAGTTAAACGAATTTGTGCCTTCCTTTCCATACATGTTCAGATAACAGGACTGTCTTCCTAGTGCTGAGAACAGGAGAAGCACTTTCTGCCAGTCCAAGGCATGAAAATACATTTTAAATTTTCAATTTGTTTACTCTGTAATTATGGAATAGATTGCCTTGTTTTGCAGATTCTAGCAACTGCAGATACAGCTAGTTTGAAGTTCAGAGGACAGGCTAGCTTGCTTTGTCTTTAGGTGGAGTTAGCCTTTGCTGTGTCACCTTTGCTGACTGTCACCAGCACACAAGAAGGGAGGTTTAAAGTCAGTTTCTGTACCTTGATAATGCTGTAATTAGTTTTTTAACAGCAGCATAGACATGACCAGTAAGACAGGAGTTCATCGAGGAGATACACAAATACACTTGATCCAGAGTGTGGGATGCTGAGCAACATAGATGATTTAACAACTGGCTATATCAGTTTTGTAATCAAAATGCAATGTTTAATGAGCAAAGAACATGCATGTTGTCACGTAAAACAGCTTACAGCAAATTGTGGACCTACTTCAGTTCCTAGAGTACCTCATAAAAGTTTCAAAGAATATCTAGCAAGATGGCCCAGTCCTGTAAAGAATTCAAACAATGGCTAGTTTAAACTAATTTAAGTTAAAGTTTTTCTGGTATTCCTTATCCTCTGAAACTCTTGATTGTTGGATTCCAACTAGAGGTTTTTAATACGCAGGTCACATATGAAACCCATTGCATGCTGATATATATGGTAATTTAAACAATAGTCAGCAGTTATAAAGTACAAGGAAAGCCATCTCTGTGGGTGGCCGTAACTATGTAATTTTTAATAATCCATAGAGACTAGTTTTCCTGAGTCTGTATACTTGCTTCATTTTTTTTAATGAAGAGTTATGCTTTCAATTTCCAGGTACAAGTGCTTCAAGGGAAAGAACCACCATGCTTCCTGCAGTGCTTCCAAGGAGGGATGATTGTGCATACGGGAAGAAGGGAAGAGGAAGAAGAAAATGCACAAAGTAAATTACTGTTAGTTAAGAGTTTCTGCCCCCAAATCCTTTTTTACCTATTGTGAAGGGCTTTGAATTCAGTCTCAACTACCGTACTCTGTAGAAAAGAGAAATGAATGCTGTGAAACCCATGAGACAGCTTTGCCATGCTTTGTTTCAAGGTAGTTTTTCTTCTTTGAGCTTAGAATGGATTTTGTCACCCTAGAGCAAGCTGACTTTATTGTATTGATACGCATGTAGACTGTTCTAGTTGTTTTTTAATTAAGCAAAGTGCCTGTTTGCTTTAAAATATGGGGTTTTTTCTACATAGTCTGGTCAAAAGAGTATTTTTATGAGCAGTTCTTCTGCTCCAATCAGAACTCTTAAGTTTTTGTTACCCATTCATTACTTTTTGCAACATATTCCTTGAAAGCTGCAGTTGAGGTAGGAGAATTTCAGTGCAGGTGTAGCTTGGACATGTTCCAGTTCACATCTGAATGTGACCTCCTGTGCCTAAGGTGCACCGGGAAAGAG